GACCTCTGGACGCCCGCACCGCTGGCCCCCGAAGCCCGAGGGTGGACGCAGCCGCGACGGCGGCTATTGCCGCCGCGCGCCAGACTGGCAGCCCGCGGGGCCCTCCTCACTCACTCCGTCCCTCACTCGTGGCGGTCCTGGGATCTCCTGCAGCCATGCTCGGGACCCTCCTCCATCCCCTCCTCGAAGAAGACCCGACTCGGAGGTCAGCGCGGACTTCTTGGATCGAGCGGCCACGCGCAGAAAGGGGGGGCAGGGGAAGGGGGGAATGCTTCTCAGAAGCACCCCTGCTCCTCAGAAGGTGCGGGCCTTCCCTGTAGATGTAAGGCCGGCGCCTTCTAAGAAGCAGCCTCCTTCTAAGAAGCCTTCGCCCCTCCCCCTACCCATGATACGTGCCGCCGAATCGGCGCTGTGCTCTCCTCCCTGCGAGGCGCAGCGCGCTGGGAGCGGCGCCGCAGGCGCCGCCAGGGGGATCCAGTGCCGCTCTTGCTGATACGGTCCGATACTTTAACTTAGCGTGTCGCGCCGCCGGTCTTGGCCTGCCACGCTTCGGAGCGACACGCTAGCCATTTCCCGGCTCCCAGGCATCAGCGTACGGAGCTTTTCCCAGCCTCACGCCTCGCGAAGCGAAACCGCACGCGATCCGCTCGCAGAGCATGGCGCGTCGCCGGGGCTGCCGCCGCGACACGCCAAGCAGAAGCTCCCGACCGTGCCTCCCTCGCGGTGTCCGCCCGCCCTCTGCCACGACGGCGGTCGGCTGCCGCCGCCGTGCGCCCCTGGCCAGCCCGTGGCCACCGAGGGCCCGCTGCCGCGGCCGGCCGCCGAGGTGCGGTGCGGGGCGGCCCAGCTCGGGCGGGCGGCAGGCCAGGCTCGGGAGCCAGGAGGGGGGGGGGGGGACTGGGGGGCGGTGCTTTCACGGCCATTCTCCGGGATTTCGTGTTCCTGCTCTTCCCCCCCCCCCACCCCCTGGGACCGCGCACGTGCTTCGGGCCATGATTCGCACCCCCCCCTCTTGGACGCCGAATTACTCTTGGACACCCCTGACAGGTCTCCGACGGTGCCGCACTGGCCGCGCGAGGGACCAAAACACAACAGAGAGCGCTTTACAGACGGCGTGTCTGACCACGCAGGAGTTGCGCGGGAAAGCGACACATCGGAGGCCCAGGTGGCGATCGAAGGCCCGTCGGGATATCCCTGCGCGACGCACGGGAAATCCTGGCGCAGCGCTGCCAAGACGCCCCTCGAGAGGTCCCTGAGACGCCCCCCCCCGGGGAGTGACCCTTGCCGCGCGGCCTCGGGGGGCCGCGGGTGGGGCAAGTCCAAGATCGCAGGGCGCTGCTGGGGGTCCGATGTATGCCTGCACCAGGGGTGGCCCTGGGGCAAGAGGACACTTCGCCCTCCCCCCCCAAAAGGCTTCCCGCCGGCACGCGGCCGCGCCGCGCGCACGCAGCGCGTCGGGGGGGGAGGGGGTGGCGCGCGCTTGGCCGGGCGGCGAGCGGGAGGCGCGAGCAGGAAGGGGAGGGGGAGGGGGAGGGGGAGGAGGGGGAGGAGGAGGATGAAAAGGGGAGGAGGAGGAAGAGGAGGAGGAGGAGGAGGAGGAGGAGGAGGCGGAGGAGGCGGCGGAGGAGGAGGAGGAGGAGGCGGAGGAGGAGGAGGAGGAGGAGCAGGAGGAGGAGGAGAAGGAGGAGGAAGGGGCGGGGGGAGGGACGCGGAGTGGAGTGGAGTGGGCCCCGCTGCGGATGCAGGTGCTCGGGAGGCGGGAGTAGGGAGGACAGAGAGGTGGGGAGGCAGGGAGGGAGGGAGGGAGGCAACCGAGCGAGTGGCCCGCCGCCGCGGACGGCGCTCCCCCCTGGGCGCGGCCCTCGCGGCACAGGAGCAGCACTACGGCCCAGAGGACCCCCCGGGCGCGGCCCGCGCGGCCCGCCGGGAGGGGGATGGCCCCGATTTCGGATCCGCCGTTTTTGAACGAGGTTGTGTCGGGTATAGCCAGGACCACATGTAAGGGGGCCCAGTCAGTGGTTAGGCTCCGGAGCCATTAAATTTGCCAGAATCACCAATCCAGGTTTGCCGTAACTGGTGTTTTTTTCGGGTGACGGCAGTTCGGGTTAGTGGAAAAGGGCGGGGGGGGCGTCCCCCATTACACAACACTAAACCAGGTCCCACTAAACCCAGTTCTGCCAACGCCCGATTATGGCAGGGCGCAAATGTCCGCCGTACTTCTCAAGCTCCTCTGATGCCGATGCCCACCCTACTTTGCCGCCGCTGTATCCGCCATACCTTCGCGGACACATCCGCCCTATTTTCAGGGGCGGAAATTTGCGCCCCATTGTTTCGCGTCGTTTGGGCTGCATGTCCGACACACTTGTAAGTCGGAACATCGCCAACGTACGGCGGATCCGAAGTCAGGGGGGATTCAAGATGAAGCCCGGATCTCAGACGATAATGTTGTGCTTCAATCCTGGTGCGTCTGTCGATGGAAGCTTCTATAGGACCAGCCGTCGGGCCCCAGGGCAGTCCAACATCGATCCAGGATGGAAGACGACCGCCGGGGAGGCGGTCGGGGCCTCTAAGGGCAGCGGCCTGAAAAGTCGTGTCCGCGGATGTCGGGGAGGGCTCATTGTCAGCATGCAGATTCGAGAAAGCGCAGACGTGGATCCATCAGGAGGGAAAAACACAGACACAATTGATCGTCGATTCCCAGGCAAAGCTTGCAAAATAATATGGGAAGTGGGGGGGGAAGACAAAATCTTAGAAAATATGGGAAGATACGGGGAATCCTGTTATTTGTGTGTATTTACTCGTGTGTCCCTGGGCCCCTTCAATCAAGGCGCGCGGTCAGCGACGGGCTCCGCACAGAAGCGGCCAAGCTCCGTCGCACAAGGAGGCGGTTCCGGCCTCGTGCTTCGGGGGGGGGGGGGCCTTCCCCCATCCACGGATCTGGCGCCCACGCGGCAGATCTACACGCTGTTCATTTCGGATTCCTCGCAAGTTCTTCGATTTTTTGGAGGCCAAGAGCCTTCCAGTTCTAATTGCTCTGTCCTGGGCCTCTTCCTGGCCACTGGGGGGCGAGGAACCATTAGAAACGAGCACAATTAGAAATGAGCACGATTAGAAATGAACGACGTGCAATCCATGTTGGCGCGCACCCGAATAAAAGACCCACCGTCAGCCTGGAACAAGGCCCATCGTCGGGGTGACCGGGGAGTGGGGGAGGAGAGCGAGGGAGGAAGAGGGAGTAGTTTCGAGCTTCGAGGTCTGAGGTTTCCAAGTGGGTTCGTTAACCCTTCTGAGCGTCTGGGAGGCTCCTCGTGACCACTGCTGGATCCGCCCGGAATTCTGGTCAGAATGCCCACGAAACCCTGGTCACGGGGGGTCAGAGCTTGTCAAAGAGGTGGCTTCGGGCTCGAAGGTCGAGGATCGAGGTTTCCGCGCGCCTTCGCCGTCTGTGGGCCTCCGCGGGGCTCCTCGTCGACACGGCTGCCTCCGCTCCGGATTCGGGGCGAGGGCGCGCTCCAGGGCGGCAGGTCTTCGGGGGGGGGGGGGCGGGCGGGCCCAGACTCCCAGGTGTGGCAGGCCCGGGCCTCCGACGACACTCCGCCGCGCCGCTTGCTCCGACGCGCGGCCCTGCGTCTCGGGGAGTGCGCCACGGCCGCCAGGGCGAGCTCCGCCTCGGGCGCGGTGGGTTCGCCGCGGGTCTGCCGCGGCGCCGGCCGCGTCTCCTCGTGGAGCGCTGGGCGCCGGGCTGGCCGCGGGTTCTTGCCGTGGTGTCGGCGCCGTCCACCTAGGCGCGTCGAGGACAAGCGGCATGGCAGGACTGACGCAATCGCTGCGCTGTTCTTCGCCTCGGCCCCAGAGGGCCGCTCGCGGGCCCGGGGGGGGCACCAACAGCGGAGCCGTGGCGCACGAGTGCTTCCCTAGGAGGGGTCGAGCCTTCTGCGGCCACGGCTCGGAAGGAAAACACATCGCCGGATGTCTGGGGACTCGGCACTCCTTTCGCTGGACGCCACAACTCGCCACGGGACATGCGTTTGCGTGTTTTGCTCGTGCCCCCAGGCTCCGGGGGCCCTGACCAGCCTCTGGGCCGTCCAAGAACGGCACGGGATGGAAAAAGGGGGGAGATGCCGAAGTCTCCAGCGGCCCGCGTGGTGGAGGTCTCGGCAGTAGGGGGGAGAAGAGAGAGGAGAGGCCGCACGATGCTGGCAAAAGGGCCCGCCGTGAGCGCTGTGCGCGCACTCGGCTCTGCGTCGAGGCCAAGGCCGCGGCCTGAGCCAGATGCACAGGGAGAAGAGCGCGCGTGGCATGCCACCCCGACGATCTCCTGCGTCCTGTCCCTCGCGTCTCATGCCCTCTTCATGCCTGGAGCACGGGTTGCTCTCGAAAGGGACTCGTGTCCACTCGGATGCCCTCTGGCCATCCGTGCCGACGGTGCTCCGAAGGAACGGGCCGAGCCGGAGCCCCCCGCCCGGACATCCGGCGCTCCGGGCAGAGCCGAGGCGCTTGGCTTGGCGCTACCGTGCTCGGCCTCCAGAGGCGGGTACCTCCCAGGTCTGGGGGCCGTCGGAGCACCTCGGTCGGTATCGTTTAACCAGTCCCCATCCCCATCCCCATCCCCTTCGAGACCCCGAGCCAAATGACCCCCCTGGTTGGGGATGCACCCCTCGAAGCCCGAAGGGCACGGCCTATATCCCCATCCAGGGGGGGTAAATCGGCCAGTGGGGCCCAGGCCACGCCGCTGGGGACGGGGATCGGTTAAACGATAACTCGGGGCGCGAGGCCGCCAGAGGCCGGCCCCAGGGAATGGGGGGTCCACGGGCGCGACAGAGCGCTCTTTGTGGTCGCCTGTAGGCCCCGCCCCGTGGCAGCCGGCGTCGGCGTCGGCGTTGGCGTTGGCGTCGTTGTCGGCGTCGTGCTCGGCGTCGTGCTCGGCGTCGTCGGCGTCGGCGACGGCGACGGCGCCGGCGTTGTGCTGGGCTTCGTTGTCGGCGTCGGCGTCGTCGTCGGCGGAGTCGGCGTCCGCGTCGGCGTCGTCGTCGCCCGCGTCGGCGTCGGCGTCGTGCTCGGCGTCGTTGCCGCCGTCGTCATCGTCGTCGGTGGCGGCATCGGCGTCTGCGTCGTCGTCGACGTCGGCGTCGGCGTCGTGCTCGGCGTCGTGCTCTTCGTCGGCGTCGTTGTCGGCGTCGTGCTCGGCGTCGTGGTCGGCGTCGTGCTCTGCGTCATCGTCGGCGTCGGTGTCGTCGTTGGCGTCAGCGGCATCGTGCTCGGTGTCGTGCTCGGCGTCGTCGTCGGCGTCAGCGTCGGCGTCGGGTAGGCGTCGGCATCGTCGTCCTCGTCGTCGGCACGTCCTCGTCGTCGTTGTCTTCCCTGTCGGCGCCGCCGCTGTCGTGTCGTCGTCGTCCTCGTCGACGTCGTCGTCGTCGGCTTCGTCCTCGTCGTCGTCGTTGCCTTTCCGCCCCCCCCCCCGTTCCGAGGAGGAGGGGGGGCGGTCCCCCCCCTTCGCACTCCGCGTTCAAGTCCAGGGGGGGGGCACTCTTTCCGAGCGGGCGCCTGCGAAACGCGCTCTCCTCTTCCGAGCTTCCGCGGGCGCGCGCCGTGCCCTGCTGCCCCGGGAGTCTCGCCACGAGAAAAAAATCGCTCCCCCCGTCCCTTGCCACCCCGCCTTGGGCAAGGGTACGGTGCATCTCATCGCGCTCGAGAGTGCAGCCCCCCGTCGGGGCTCGGGGGCCCCGCTCCTGCCCGGGAGAGGCAGCGGCGTCCCTCTCTCGAGGGCCCGTCGCCCGTGTCCCTCGCCGGGGATCGTCGCCGCTGCCAGAGGGCCAGCGTCTCCCCCAAAAGCGGAGCCCGCCCTCCCCTCGTCGTGCCGCGCCGCCCACTCCGCCGGGGGAACCGCGCGGGTTCCCATCTCGGGGGCCCATCGTGGATGCATCGGCGACGCATCGCCGATGCCAGGTCGGTGTTGCCCCTCTGAGCCAGTGCCCCCCGAACGCTCCCCCTCAAGCAGGGGGGGAGGAGGAGGAGGAGGAGGAGGAGGAGGAGGAGGAGGAGGAGGACCCATCAACGATGTTGGAATACACCCTCCCTCCAAGCTGCCTCACTGGCCCCTACAAGGGTTCATGTCCACTGAGGGAAGTGCGCGTTGAGGGACAACCGTGAAAAATCTTGACGCGTGCAAGCAAACACGAGTCTCAGGGCTTCAACGCCACGAGTTCACCTGACTGTTACGTCTTGGCCATCCTGAATCGCGCCAGATAGCTATTCCTGGGACTTCAACACCGCGAATCAACGCAACTGCTGCGCCCTGGCAATCCTGAGCCGCTCCAAAACACCATTGCGATTTCTGGAATGCTAACCATCAGAATCCGAGAAACTCTGGCAAATTCTTCAAACGAATGTGCGCGGCGCGAAGGCGAGAAACGTATTGTGAAAAGGTACCGTCTTCAATCCGTGAAATTTCTGCATGTTTGTGAGACGAATGTGCGCGGCGCTAATGCGAGAGCCACATTTTGAGAACGACCTGTGCTCTATCCGTGAAGCTCTTGCAAAAGTTCAACACGAATGTGCGGCGTTCAGGCGAGAGCCACATGTTGAAAACGGCCCGTCACCGATCCGATACACTTTTGCAATTTGTTAAGACGAATGCGCGCGGAGTTAAGACGACAGCCACATGTTGCAAGCGACCCGCCCTCCATTTGTGAATATGGTGTTGGAGTTTAACCTCCAGGCTCATAAATGGTAAGGAAGTCCCAGGCGAACCGCCCGGCCCGCCCTTCCGACTGGCCCCGGGCAAGACAGGGAGGAGCTATTCATAAGGAGAAAGAATGGAGGAGGAGTGAGGAGGAGTGAGGAGGAGGAGGAGGAGGAGGAGGAGGAGCAGCAGGGGACGGCCACAACCTTCGAACATCAAAAGCCAGCAGATCGCAGACCGCAGATGAGGAGCAAGGCGGCAGGGCCAGGGGGGAAACGAGACCTCTCCAGCACCGGGAGTTGCTGGCCTCGCTCATGAGCCTGAGCACAGTGCACGAACGTACCAAGGACTTTGCCCAGAAGCGGCGCCTGCTCGAGCGGTCGCTCGTCATCATGCAGAAGTCCTTCGGCCCGCGGCCCAGGGCCTGCCGCTCCGATGCCTCAGGATTCTCCAGCAAGCGGCTTCGCCATCGGCGCATCTGGTCTTTCCTGAGATCTGGGCGTCGCGTATGTTTTGCACGTCGGTTTCGGGCCCGTTTTCACATCTGGGCGTCGCGTTTACAAATACTGGCGTTTCGCTTATGTTTCACATCGGGGCGTAACGTTTTCGCCCAGCTTCGGGCCCTGGGACCCTCACGGATCGACCTGGCGCCAAAAAGACAGGGCTCCAGTCTTGGATGTTTCTAGATGTTTAGTGATTCTTGTTCAAGACATCGGATCTCAGGGTACCCTGGCAGTTGGCAGAGGCAAATTGGTGGCTGATCGGGCGTTTCGTAATGAGGGGCTCGAGGCTTGCAGGAGAGGGGCCCTAAGGGGGCCCTATGGGGCCCCGAAGGTGCGCGACACGTGCACATGTCTTCACCCCTGGTGTATGGCCCCTCGCCAGGGAACGCCCGAGCAGATCCGCTCGCGGAAGCCGGCCGAAGGTCAGCGGATTGCGGCGGACGGGACGCAGGAGCGATGCGTCGATGCGTTTGCATTCGGGATCTACGGTCCATGGAGTCGGCCGTGTGCCCCGCGGGTTTCGTGTTCGGGCTGTTCTCCAGCAGTTGCGCCTCGCTGGACGCCGCCGCGCTAGACGCGGCGTAGAGACAGAGTTCAAATGGCGAGTAGATCAAACAAGCGAGGAGAGTGTTTTTTAATGGTCTGGGGCATGACGGGCGTCGTGGCCCCCGCCCCCCCCTTTCCCCCCCCCCTATGACGTAATGCCCCCCCCCAGTGCGCTCAGGGCACTGCCGCCGTGCGCATCGGGATCCGCATACGCGTCCGCATAGGGATCTACATAGGAGTCTGGTCCGCAGACGTCGTCGTCGTCGTCGCTCGTCGTTCGTCGCTTGTCGCTCATCGTCGTCGTGCGCGCGGACGCGGCTGGAGCATCATGTGGGGGAGTTGGGGATGGGGGGCGCCGATGACGTCACGTTTCGCGCCGGCGGTGTCTGGAAATGCTTAGGAATGAGGACGAGTAGCAGCAGCATGTAGCTGGCGATCTGCACCACAGCGCTTGTGTACACCTCAGTGCCTGCGTGCACCATAGCGCCTGCCTGTGTACACCACACCGCCAATGTACACCACAGCAGCCGCGTGCAACACAGTGCCAGTGTGTGCCACAGTGCCTGCGGGCACCACAGCGCTTGTGTACACCACGGCGCCTGCGTACATCACATCAGCCGTGTGCAACACAGCACCAGTGTACACCACAATGCCTGTGTGCACTGCAGCTCCTGTGTACATCACGGCGCCTGTGTGCACCATAGCAACCGTGTGCAACAGAGCACCACGGTTTTATATAGAAGGTGTTAAAGGAGTTGCGACAGAATGGAGCGCATGTGGACTCCCCCGAGACATGTTTTATATAGGATTTGGAACGGAATCCTTCTGGGCAAAGGATCGCCGCTGGAATACATGACTCCTCCCGAGTCCGCAGGCATCATCCTAACTCCCATCTGCGTCCAGGATTTTCCAGCAAACTTGACAGTCCGAGAACCGATTGGACTGATTCAATAGGCCATTCGGCGGTGCACGCTGAGATGCGCACGTGCGCTGCAGCGCCGACCCGCACGACAGGGGGGAAGGGCGAGGGAGGAGGAGGGATGAGGATGAGGAGGAGGAGGAGGAGGATATGGAGGTGGCGGAGGGGGGAGGAGGGAAGAACGTCGCATTATATTATCAACACTTCCTGGCGTGGTGTTTAGCTGTCCGCAACAGATCCTCACCTACATGCTCCTTCTACCTGTCCTGTGCACGCAGGCACCGTGGTGTACACCAGCGGTGCATTGCAGTCGGATGCTGTGGTGTAGACAGGCGCTGTGGTGTGCACAGGCGTTGCGGTGCACGCAAGCATTGTGGTGTACACAGGCGCTGTGTTGCACGTGGTTGTTGCGGTGTACACATTCGCTGTGGTGTCGGCGCTGTGGTGCACGCAAGCACTGTGGTGTACACAGGCGTTGCGTTGCACATGGCTGTTGCGGTGTACGCAGGCAATGTGGTGTACACGCGAACATTGTGGTGTACACAGAGAGTGGGACAGATCGCCACCTACATGCTACTCGCGTCGTCGTCGTCGTCGCTCGTCGTTCGTCGCTCGTCGCTCGTCGCTCATCGTCGTCGTCGTCGTCGCTCGTCGTTCGTCGCTCGTCGCTCGTCGGTCATCGTCGTCGTGCGCGCGGGCGCGGCAGTGGTGCCGGAGACACACAGCGAGCGGGGGCGTTACGTCATACCCCCCCTCCCCCCCATGACGTCCGTCATCGCCGAAAATCAGAGTGAGGGGCCGAAGGGTCATTCATTGTCCCTGGGTGCGTGGCTGAATAAGGAACTCGCGGTGAGAAGTCTGCTTGTTGCGTTGTTGTTGCTGTTGTTGTTGGTGTTGGTGTTGGTGTTGGTGTTGGCGCTATTGGTTATTATTGTTGTTGCTTGTGGTGTTGGTGTTGGTGTTGTTGTTGTTGGTGATGTTGGTGTTGGTGTAGGTGTTGTGGGTGTTGGTGATGTTGTTGTTGTCGTCGTTGTTGTTGTTATTGTTCGTGTTATTGTTATTGGTATTGTTCTTGTTATTGTTATTGGTATTGTTCTTGTTATCGTTGTTGTTGTTGGTGGTGTTGTTGTTGCTGCTGCTGCTGCTGCTGGTGCTGCTGCTGCTGCTGGTGGTGGTGTTGTTGTTGCTGCTGCTGTTGTTGTTGCTGTTGTTGTTTGTTGTCGTCGTCCGACCCGCGACCCACCCCGCGACCCACCCCGCGACCCACCCCGCGACCCACCCCGCGACCCACCCCGCGACCCACCCCGCGACCCACCCGCGACCCACCCCGCGACCCACCCGCGACCCATCCCGCGACCCATCCCGCGACCCACCCTCAAGAGAGGAAAAAACACCTGGACCCGACAATTTGCGTTTATTGACCGGCCCTGGGCGTTGACAAAATAACCCTGCCCTGTTCAATTCATTCCTTGTGTGAGTTTACTAAACGGCTTCGCTTATCGGGGTGATTATTCTGGGGTGGATTGTCTGCCTTCTACACCCGCGACCCACACGCGACTCAACAGCGACCCACCCGCGATTTACCCGCGACCCATTTGCGACCCACCCGCGACTTACCCACATTGGCTTAACGAAAAAATCGGCGCCTGCGGCGGGCTCGTTGTATAATTTGTAAAACTTTGGCCCCTGCGGCGGGCTTCTCCAGAGTCTCGCAAACTGCCGACGTCCCCACCGCCCCCTCACTCTTATCCGCATCTGCGGGGTGCTACGTACAAAAAAAGGCTCTCGAGGACAAGGGGCGAGCGGTGCATGCTTGGGGCGTTCCAGAAAGGGACTCGCCTACGAGGGTCGAGGGAGTTGATAGATCTTCCTCGGCGGAAGGCGGCGGATGTGGAACGAGGGCGCCTCCGCTGGCGGAGGCCGTCGGAACTAGAACCAGCCCCCCCTTCCCAAGACACCGCACTTTTTGGGGGGGGGTCAGGGTTTCCGGGGCCCGCAACGTGGGACGAAGTGGGGCAGTTCACGACGGTGGGCGGCGGGCACGCACAAGCTCGCCGAGGGATGCCCCCGAGGGGCTCCCGAGGATCAGTTCCCGCATCGCGGCCAGCATGCGGAGTCCATCGCCGCAGAGGGCGCAGGTGGCCGCCCGTCGTTGTGGTGGGCCCCGCGCGCCAGCAGACCCAGAGATTGACCGTTGATCTCCAGCGAGGTCGAGACTCAGAGGCAACGTTGGAGAGATAGACTCGGGGGGCGATAGCCCATTCATCGCCGATTGTCAAGGGCGTTCAAAACGCCCCTACCCTGGTTTACGAGGCGCTGTGCGCTGAACCTCCTGCGGGCTGACAGGGTAAACCCTGCGTGATGTGCGGCGTCCTGGCGACTCTAGGCTTTGGGGAGTCCCAGGAGATTTAGAGACCCACTTACTTGCAACTCAGGGTAGGGTCGTTTTGTTTGATCCCTTTAGATAGGGGCCCCATAGCCCGCACTGCCCAGGACCATGCGGACTCCCCTATCAGGGACCGACCGTCGATCTATCGGCGATGTATCGCCGACTGCAGCTCGACGTTTCCCTCCCCCCCCCGCACCTAGTGGGCTTCCCAGTGTCCTCCCACCCGAAGAGAGCAGGAGACATTCTTCCGCGTTCGTTGCGGCCCCCTGCCCCCCTTCCTTACCTACCAGCGAGAAAGATGCTCCGCAGCATGTCTCGCACGATGAGAGGCGTGGACGAATCCTGCGTGGAGCACATTAAGCGCTCGACCCAGAGGATCGAGGAGTAGTGTTTTCATACCACCCACCGAACCACCCCAACCCAACCCGAAGGCCTCAATTTGCCTTCCATTTCCAGTAGGGGGTGGTCGGGGAACATTGAAGAAAACACATGGAACCCGTACACCCCCTAACCCGAAATTCGGGTCAAATTCGGGTCTTCGGGTTGGGTTGGGGTGGTCTGGTAGGTGGTCAGTTTCAACTTTCGCATCAGAAGTTGGGTGTCCATTCAACGCATTCGCAAGTCGGTGTTCGCAGCCCGCGTCTTCTTCCACGCAGAGAACAGGTGCAGCAAACGGCTGTTGTACTGGACGCCGTGGTTCTGGTCAGAAGCCAAACGATCCACAGGGCGACCTCGTTTGAGATGGAGGGATGTGTGCGATGCGTGAGCGCCTTCCGTGCACGCGTTTCACCAGATGCACTTATCCTCTGCCGCATGCTCATCTGCCCCTCAGGGGACCGCTCCGGTCACCAGAGCCAGCATGCAGACTCCCTGTCCCATTCCACGTCCCCCCGAAGTCTGGAGCGCCCATTGGCAGTCCTCGAGAGGAGGCGGGCGTCGTGAATAACACAGAGCGCACTGGACCCGGACCTAGCTGGATGAATATCAACCTCTTGATCTCTGTCCCTGCCCAACTGATGCTTGATCTCTAGATGCAGCTGTCTTCCCCTCCCTCCAGGTGGGACCGAATCGACGACGCATCATATTCGAATCGAACCTGCCTTGCCCCTGTCGCTGGCTGTTGGACGGACCCGAGGTCCCGACCACCACAACGTCAGCATCATCTTGGACGAGATCGCCCGGACCGCCCCCCCCCCCCCAACCAGCCTCCAGCTTCGTTCAAATCTAGCGTCAAGAAAAGGATCTAAGATCCCGACGGCCCGGTTGGGGTTGCCGCCTCTGCTGCTGACCTTTCATTTGGGGAGTAAGCCAGACAGAGTGTTTCTTTTCTCTATTACCTATTTTCTTATTGCTCTTCTTTTCCTGCTCTAGTCACGAGGCCTTCGTTGCGAGTCGCTCCTGGGCGCGTTCGGGGGCAGGGGAGACGCAGGAACCAGGATGGCGACTGGGTGCCGCGGTTGTCCCGTGTTTTTCAGTTCGCGCAGGGGTCGGGTAGGGTTCCTATACGTATTTGTATTTATAAGCATGTATTAGGAGATGGTTTCAGTCGAACCTTGTGATTATTTCCCCAATCAGAGCTTGCCTCTGTAGGGGTCCTAGCGGATTCATATGGTTAGGTTAGGTGTGCCGCCGATTTTCGCCGCTGATGCTGATGATGATGCCGATGCCGATGTCGACGATGACCACAGCGATGGCACGACGAGTATGATGATTTCAATGGGAGGGATGATGGTGATGTTGAAGACGACGACGATGACGTTTGCGATGGTAATGGCGATGCTGACGACGAGGCGTGTCACACCGACGGCGGAATTGTTGATGATGATGATGATGATGATGATGATGATGATGATGAAGATGAAGATGATGATGATGATGATGATGATGATGATGATGATGATGATGATGATGATGATGATGATGATGATGATGATGATGAAATGATCATGTTGGTTACGACGATGGTGCTGCTGATGGTGATGATACCGATGCTGAGAGTGGTGATGATGATGAGGATGCTGCGCATGATGGTGATGATTATGATGATGATGCTGATGGTGGTGACGAAATGATCATGTTAGTGACGACGATGATGCTGGTGGTGATGCTGAGGATGGTGAGGATGGTGAACATGCTGTTCATGCTGATGATTATGATGACGAAACGATAGTGATTCGGAGGAGGAGCAGGACGATGAGGAGGAGACGAATGCGCAGAAGGAAGGGCAGGAGGATGAGGGATATTCAAATCATTGACCGAAGGGAGGGGGAGGAAACAGGGAAGGAGAAGAACATGATGAGATGGAGGAGGAGGAGGAGGAGGAGGAGGAGAAGAGGAACGATAGAAGGAGAGGGCGGGGATCAGTAGGATGACGAGGGGGAATAATAATATGAGGATGAGGCATAGCAGGAGATGGGGGATGAGGGTAGTGATGGATTGGCAGCAAGAGAAAAAAGAGGGAACGCACATGATACCACAAGCGTCCCCCACCACACATATCTATATATATATATATATATATATATATATGTACATAGATCGAGCTACACATGCAACGATCTGTTCTATGTATACAATGTTTGCCAGCGCGTTGTTTAGAGCCGATGGGTCATGCCAACCAGCTTCGTGCCGCAAGTCCCGTCACCGTGCCAGCGCATGTCTTGTACACTCGTCGGGAAGATCCGCGGTGATGTCATCTTGTCGTTTTTCTTGCCACAATTAGTTGCACGAGAGTGGGTCACATGAGATGAGATGAGAGACGCATACATCTATAGATAGAGAGAGAGATAGACGCATCTGCCTACACATGTATCGGTATGTGTGTGTATTGCCGTGCATGTTTTAGGAGAGGAGGAGGTTGGATGAGGGATGAGGGAGTAGGAGGGGTGAGGGAGCAAAAGGGAAGATGGTAGAGGAAGGGCGATGACGAGGGGGAGGGAGGGAGGAAAGAGGGAAAGGAGGAGGAGGAGGGAGCGATGGAGGAGTGGGGAGGAGAAGGGAGGATGGAAAAGGGAGGAGGTAGAGAAGGAGGAGGAGGAGGAGGAGGAGGTTGAGGAGGAGGATCAGCAGGGCCTGTAGGAGGTCCAGTGGCCCCGTAGGCTTCCAGACATCTTCCTAAGTTTCACAGCAACCCAGACGTGCTATCCTCCTTCGGAGGTCGAGGTATGGGATGTATGCATCCAGACGTCCGACGATCTGATTCTTGCAACCAGTTGATTTCCCTTGGTTTTAGAACCCCCCCATGGCTTTTGGCCGAAAAACTGGTCACCAGGAAGGGGTCGGGACTTTGAGGCCGCGCATCGAAAATCACACATCGTCGGATATCTGGATCTGGCTTCGGCTGCAACTCCTGGAGGCTAACCAGGAAACTCTGTATACATTTTGAGACTTCGAGATATTTGGAGGCTTCTGGGAGCCTCCAGAGACTTCCGAATAGGACGTTGGTTCGTAAGGTTTCGGGCTGTGCACAGACAGCCTCCCCAGGTAGCCCGGCTGACCTCAACAGGCCCCCCCGAGTAGTCCAGGGTGGTCTCAACACCATGGCGATGCGTCTGGCGGCGCCACTCGGGGGCTCCACGCCCCAGGGGCTGGGGTGGCGGGGGGCGTGTTGAGGCAAACCAGGGCCACCTGAGCTGGATGCTCGTTTGGGGGACTCCGGAGGCTTACCTAACAGATCTGGTCGATTCTAGTTTGGCCCAAGTTCGGCTCTAGTTCGACTCAAGTTCGACACAAGCCGATGGACATTCGACGCAGCATCGACGGATGAGTGGAGCGACTGGCTCCATGAAGCCAGCAAGGCCCCCAGAACGAGCATCGGACCCGAGGGTGGCCGTTGGCAGCCTGGAGCCTCGCCGCAGGACGTGCGGCGACATGGGGGCCTTCGAGGACAAGCGGTCGCTCCTGGAGCGGTCCCTGCGCATAGTGACGCTCAGATTCGGGCCCGAGCACCGCGAGGCACCCCGCCCCGCCCGCCGCGTGTTTGTTGGCGTGTGCCTGTCGGTTGTTGAGTTCTCATTAGGGGAACAAGAAGTGACATAAACATAAAAACTCGGAGGTCCGAGCGGATTTCTCGGATCGGCGCTGGACCCCCCTCCTTGGCGCGTGGAGCGCGCCAGGGGCGGCGCCGGAGGCGCCGCCAGGGGGCCCCAGCGCCGATCCGAGAAATCCGCGCGGACCTCCGAGTTTTTATATTTATGCCACTTGTCGTTCCCCTACTCATTCTTCAGGGCTCCCACACGGTTTTTATCAGGGGATGTCTTGAGCCGCAGGTGGCGTCGTTGGCCCCCGATTGTGTGCTTGTCGTTTTGTTGACTTCTCATTCTGCAGGGCTCCCACACGGCTTTTAATCAGGGGATGTCTTGGGCCTCAGATGGCGTCGTTGGCCCCCGGGCTACAGCAACAACGGCTCCAGCCGTGCACCTCTCGCCATCTATTCGGCATCGCGCTCTCGCCCGAGACCTCCTCACGGGGTGCTCGGGGTTCGCGCTCTCGCCCAGATCTTCCCTGTAATTTTCGAAGGTGCTGCGCTCTCGACGTCCAGGGATCGCGCTCTCGCACACAGCCCTCCTCGCATTGTGCTCGGGACTCGTGCCCTAGCCCGGGGCTCCTGCACCATTCGCGCCACTCGTGTGCGGGGCCCGCCCGCTCGACCGCTGCGGTCCGCCCGTTCGCTTGCCTGGGAGCCCGCGCGTCCGCTGCGTTGCTCCGCCCGCCCCGCCCGTTGAGGCCCGCCCGCCCGAGCTGCCCGTCAGTGCTCCGGCCTGCCGCGTGCTCGGAAGCCCGCGCGCATGCCTGAATGCCTCGCCTGCCCGACACCCCCCTTCGGGTCCGCCCGCCCGATCCGCCCGTGAGGACCAGCCCGCCCGCCCGCTTGCCGGAGTGTTGTTCCGTCCTGCACCCCCTCCTGCTAAATCGTCTTCGCCCTCCCCCCCCCCCGCTGCGTCGTGCTCCCCCCCCTTCTCGTTTCATTTTCCTTTCCTCGCGTTTTCCCTTCTCCAGCTGTCTCATGTTGCACTTTCTATGTTAGGGGCCGCGTCACTTGGCAGCCAAGGAAGATATACCCCCAAGCGGGCACGATCAAAGACGAAGGAAGAGGGCGGGTACCCAGGGTTTGGGGCACACATGTTGAATGATTCACGAGCAACGGAGAGCGAATCGGATCAACATGATTAGTCATGCTATTCTGTTTTTTCCCCAACCATCCTGTGGTGTTGGTTCTCCGATTTGAAGAGACGGTCCCCGCGTCTCTTCCTCCTCCCGTGACCCCCCCAGTGGGGTGGAACTACATGCGTCCGCCACACCCAGTACGGCGCTTCGTGGCCCATACGGAGCTCCACCGAAGGCCCCAGCGCGGTGTACCACATGCGTCCGCCACACCCAGTACGGCGCTTCGTGCCCCCACAGGGAGCTCCACCGAAGGCCCAAGTGGGGGTGGCCACATGCGTCCGCCATACCCAGTACAGCGTTTCGTGGCCCCATAAGGAGCTCCACCTAAGGCCCCAGCGGGGTGTACCACATGCGTCCGCCACACCCAGTACGGCGTTTCGTGGCCCCATCGGGAATTCCACCGAAAGGCCCAGTGGGGTGTACCACATGCGCCCGCCACACTCAGTACGGCCGTGGCCCCGTAGGAACTCCACCGAAGGCCCCTGTGGGGGTGGCCACCCGCGTCCGCCACACCCAGTACAACGCTTCGTGGCCCCATAGGGAGCTCCACCGAAACGCTCAGTGGAGGTGGCCACATGCGTCCGCCACACCCAGTACAGCGTTTCGTGGCCCCATACGGAGCTCCACCGAAGGCCCCAGTGGGGGTGGCCACGTGCGTCCGCCACACCCAGTACAGCGCTTCGTGGCCCATACGGAGCTCCACCGAAGGCCCCAGTGGGGGTGGCCACATGCGTCCGCCACACCCAATACAGCGCTTCGTGGCCCCAGCTCCACCGAAACGCTCAGTGGAGGTGGCCACATGCGTCCGCCACACCCAGTACAGCGCTTCGTGGCCCCATAGGGAGCCCCACCGGAGGCCCCAGTGGGGGTGGCCACGTGCGCCCGCCACACCCAGTACAGCGCTTCGTGGCCCCATAGGGAACTCCATCGGAGGCCCAGTAGGGGTGGCCACACGCGTCCGCCACACCCAATACAGCGTTTCGTGGCCAGTGGGACCTTCGCATGCGTCCCGGAAGCCCAATTTGGCATTTTCACCCACCCAGTACAGCGTTGTGGCCTCATATGAAACTCCACCGAAAACCCCAAGTGGGACCGCCTGCATGCGTCCCGCACACGCAATTTGACATTTTTACCCACCCAGTATACCCCCAGTGGAACCGCCCACGTGCGTCCCGCACACACAATTTGGCATTTTCACCCACCCAGTATAGCGCTTCGTGGCCCCGTAGGAAGCTCCACCGACGGCCCTAGTGCGGGTGGCCACGTTCGTGCCCCATTCCGAGTACAGCGCTTCTTAGCCCCATAGGGAGCCCATCGGAGGCCCGAGTGGGGGTGGCCACATGCGTCCGCCACACCCAGTACAGCGTGTCGCGGCCAGTGGGACCGTCGGCGTGCGTCCCGCAGACCCAATTTGGCATTTACACTCACCCAGTACAGCGCTTCGTGGCCCCATAGTGAGCTCCACCGAAGCCCCCAGTGGGACCGCCAGCGCGCGTCCCGCTCACGCGATTTGAAATTTTCACCCACCCAGTACAGCGATTCGTGGCCTCAATACGGTGGCCCTTGAGGATTCCTTATCTGACGAGGACGGCGGTGATATCCATGGCCAAGCCTTGATTGGAGTTCCACCGGCCTCCAGACCCTGGATTCCTTATCTGAGGGTTTCTTATCCATTGCCCCCACCGTATGGGAGCTCCACCGAAGCCCCCAGCGGGACCGCCCACATGCGTCCCACACCCAATTAAGCACTTTCCCCCACCCAGTATAATGTTTCGTGGCCCCAGAAGGACCTTCACCGAAGCCCCCAGTGGGACCGTCCGCATGCGCCCTGGAAGCCCAATTTGGCATTTTCACCCACCCAGTATAGCGTTTCGTGGCCCCCTAAGGAGCCCCACCGAAGCCGCCAGTGGGACCGTCCGCATGCGCCCCGGAAGCCCAATATGGCACTTTCACCCACTAAGTACAGCGTTTTGTAGCCCCACAGGGAGCTCCACCTAAAGCGCCCCAGTGGGACCGTCCGCATGCGTCCCGGGAGTTTCGTGCCCCCATAAGGAGCTCCACCGAAGCCCCCAGTGGGACCGTCCGCATGAGTCCAACACACCCAATGTGGCAGTGTCACCCACCCAGTATAGCGCTTCGTGGCCCCATAAGGAGCTCCACCGAAGCCCCCACTGGGACCGTCCGCATGCGCCCCGGAAGCCCAATTTGGTATTTTCACCCACCCAGTACAGCGTCTCGTGGCCCCATAGGGAGCTGCACCTAAAGCGCCTCAGTGGGACCGTCCGCATGCGTCCCGGAAGCTTCGTGGCCCCATAGGGAGCTCCACCGAAGCCCCCAGTGGGACCGTCCGCATGCGCCCCGGAAATTCAATTTGGTATTTTCACCCACCCAGTATAGCGCTTCGTGGCCCCATAAGGAGCTCCACCGACGGCCCCAGTGCTACCGCCCGCACGCGTTCCCCCCACCCAGTGCAGCGCTTCGTGGCCCCATAGGGAGCTTCACCGAAGAATGCATGTTCAATTGCGGCACCCACAACTGCACATGGTTGGGTCCTTTGCCAGGATAGCTCAAACGCAGTACTTGCACTTAGAGGTTTTTGCCTCGGTTGCTGAAGTAGTCGGATCGGATCCTGAGGTTTCGCCGCGTTTCCGCTCATGGGCGCCTGGGGTTCCCGCTCGTGGGCGCGTCGTGGGCGCTGGGTGGGTTTCCCTAGGTTTCGCCACGCTCCCGCTCGTGAACGCCTCGTGGGTACTGGGTGGGTTTCCCGAGGTTTCGCCGCGTTCCCGCTCGTGGGCGCCTCGTGGGCGGTTGGTTTCCCGAGGCTTCGCCGCGTTCCCGCTCGTGGGCGCCTCGTGAGTGCCCTCATGGCTTACACAACATAGCCAGTTCACGCAACCTAGATTACAGCGCATTGCGTACACAATAATATATATATATCTATATATGACACTACGCACCTCAGAAGTGTGGGCTCACGCCACATAGCTCAAGCCGCACAGCTTCCACCTCCACAGTGCAATATGTCACCCCTGTTCCTCAACCATCCTGTGGTGTTGGGTCCTCGCTTTGAAGAGACGGCGCCTCCTCCCCCTCCACCCACATCCTGCCTCTGCTTTTCCGCGTGCCCACTGCGGCGCACTCCTCACACGTTTCGTCGCCAACTGGGTGTTCCACCTGTGGTCGCAGCTGGCGCGGACACGACCAAGGCTCCGCCGTCCACTTCAGCGCACCCCTCACACGCTTCGCGGCCCCACAGGGAGCTTCACCTCCAAAGTTTGTTCTAGTACGTGGAGGCGGGCGACGCATTCGCACCCTGCGAGCAATTGACAGAAAGGACCCTCCGAGCGCCCCAGTGACTGATCAGTCCTGCCTCCACGTGTCTTTGTTCGCCCACGTCCTTCTTATCCACGCCCCGTCCATGTTCCGTGCCCCTTTCCTTCCTCTCACACGCCTTGTGATACCCGCAGTTGCACATGGTTGGGTCTTTCGCCAGGGCACTGTTGTGGTTTCGTTTGCTGTTTCCGTCTCGCTGCCACAGCTGGAGGCACCCCAGAGACATCCAGGATGGGCCATGGGACGGGTCTGGGGGCCAGGGCGGGCAGCGGACTTCTCGGAGAGAAAGGGGTCCTGAGGGAACGGGGTTCTGAGGATCCCCGCCGCGTTCGTCCTCCCGGGGCCCTCCCCTGGCCGCCAGGGCCGTCACAGAACGATTCGGGGTGAGAGGCTGGTCCTGGGGAGGAGGAGGAGGAGGAGGAGGAGGAGGAGGAGGAGCAGGAGGAGGAGGAGGAGGAGGAG